CTTATAGAAGTGGATAGTAATCAAGAGTTTGAGGTGGAAGAAATCTTAGATTCAAGGCAATGCTAAAATATGTTGAAATATTTAGTTCATTAGCACTGATATGATATTAGTAAATGCATATGAAAGCTAATAAAAAATCTTGCAAATATAGAAAAGTAAGTTGAGACTTTTCATTGACAACATCCATTCAAATCAAGATGAAGAATAATAAATCTTTGCTATAAAAGAAATAAGTTTCAAAGATAATAATATTTTATCTCCTATCTTTTTTTATAGCTTCTATATATTTTTGATGCTAAAGAGATAAGAACCATCAACTAATAGATTTGATTTAAGAGCTTTTACTTACTGACTTATTGGATGAGACATTGTAATTGTTACAACTTTTAAAACAACATAATCAAGATAAAGATCCTTAAGAACAACATGTCTTTCATCAAATAGATGGTAAGATACAATGTGTTTGATATCTCGATCTTAGAAGAGACGCCTGATGTTTAGTGATTTTAATAGAAATATAAACAATTCTTGACGGTGTTTCAAATATTTTATTTGAAGGAAGTTATAAAGGCTTCAACAACAATCAAATAATAGGGTGGTCTTTTGCCTTGGTATGAGACACTATCAATGGCTAAGACAATTTATCAACAATCTTTAAAAAGAACAAAGATCAAAATCTGTAGCAAATATAATTTGCTACATTTTGGATTTTATCAACACATGATGATTGCTCTTTGTAGAACTCGTCTCTAAGAGAGGAAGTAATATTAAGAATATATATAACTTCTCTAGCAAATACCTATATAATTAGATAGAAGTAGATAAAAATAAATAAAAATAAGTTAATTTCATAATACCTTCTAAAAAAACTTTCTATAAGCTTTATTGATGTTGCTTAGACTTTACATGTATTTGTAGTTGATTGATAGTTTAAAAATTTGATCAACAGGTTAACCACATATTGATAGCTTACAAAATAAGCTCACTAAATGGTATATATATAGAAAACTTGCTTTACAAGTTAAGATACGTGTCTTCCAAAGTCAACATATTTTGGATGTCTCATAGGACATTGCCACGTAGTTCATAGTAAAGAGTATATATGGAGGCAAGTGTGAAGCCTTCATCACTCTTGTTAATGCCTTTCTATTCCTTAGTCTTCTTTCAAGACTTTCTAATCTCTTTTATTTTTGACAATAGTCATTCTAGTTTAATATTATATCATCTTTAAGTAACTTTCTAGTTCTTTTGAATAACACAAAAGTGTATTTAGGATTTTTTTTCTTTGAGATTTATGTCCCTAACATAAGATTACATTAAGATTTTTATTTTAATATTTCTTTAGGATTCTTTGTATTTCTTTTGTGACTTCTTTTAAAAATATTTTGATAGGTTAAAATTTGATTAGATTATTAAGAATTACTTGAAGTTTATTTAAGGTTCTTTTAAACTTAATAGATTTATTGTTGCATTATTACATACCTTCTATCGCTAGATGCCTAATGCATTTTAAAATAAAAATATGCATAATACAACAAAATATTTAAGACTTTTTTAATTAAATATATATATATATATATACTTTACATACCATATATTTAGATTTGGCTCGGTTTGCAATAGAGTCAAGAGGTATATTTGCAAAGAGACATTTTGTTAAGATTTTCTTGTCTAAGATTGATAAAAGTCTCTTAGATTTAGCCACATCAAGAATCATTGTCAACTATGATGGCAAGGCAATATTAACATAAGTATTTGCTGAAGTTGAAAAATGCAATAAGTTATTTTGTCATCATAATGCTATCGATATAGTAGTTTGGATGATAGATGTATTTAAATTCAAGAAGATGGCAACTACCACAAAAAGCTTAATCTAAAAAGACTATGCATTGTTGGAGGTGTGATAAATCTAATCACACAAAGAATAAACTCAATTTTCCTAAAAAGAAAGAAGCCTTGTACATGAAAAAATCTAAGCTAAAAATTAAAATTATTAAAGTAAGAAATATATCTAAAAAGAAAAAAATGAAGTGAATCCATTGTGGTAAGCTTAATAAAAATGAAGATAATTGCTTCATATTACATCTTTACAAATGACCTACTTTTGAAAAAGAAAAAGGCCTTAGAAGCTTCTAAGGCTTAAACTTAGTTAAAGAAGATATTTAATAGTGTGACTTCATTAGGCTAAATCATTACAATTCATATGACTTCTAGAAGTAAAAGAAGTTCTTTTTTTCCAAAAAATTATATGTTCAATGCATTAAGACAAATGGTGGTTGTAGTTGCCACATATGCCTAAGAAATAGCTAGAAATATGGCACCTACAACAAATGACGTATTAAAATCTTTGACTTGTCATCTAAACAATCATAGAGATCTTAATATTCATGTATAATTGCACTTATCTTTTGGCCTTGCGGATATTAATTTTTTAGCAAAGCCTTCTAATTCAACTTTAATATAAAATAAAGATACTAGTATTAAAAATAGAATATATATTTTGGCTCATAAAGTATGAAATATGCCTATATTTTCTAAAATTGATATATTGGCTTTAAAATCTAAACCAACAAGGATCTTTCAATTGGCTAGTAAAATATTGGAAGGCAAAGTGCCTATATCATTGTTAGAAGGGGCTCAAATAGTATTAAGCCTTCAACACAAGAGAATTTACCTAAATTACAAACAAAGCTTGCAATTGAAGCTATTGCTATATTTGATGAAAGTCACTTGAAGGCCACAAATATAAATCCTTCAAGTGAAGTACCAATGACTACAAAGATAGTATTTTTATTTAATGTTGTAGCTAAGAATACTCAAAAATATCAAAATTTGGGCCCAAGAGTTATACAATTAGTTAACAACAACAAAGTGTTGGTTCTCAGCCGTACTAGTGGCAATACTACTTGTGTCGCACCTTTGTATATAATATTGGATTTTGAGGCTTAGCTAATTAATATTAATAAGCGATTTATTCAAGAATTAGATTTCACTCCTATAAATTTGGAATCTTATTCTTTTAAGGTGAATGAGAAGAAAATAGTTACAAACCAAGTAGTAGTAAGTGCAATTAGTAGAATTATCTTTTAATATTTTTTTTGTATATTATTAAAGTACTTAAAGTGAAAGATATTAAAAAGTAAGAAGTCTTGTTGAATAATAGAAAGAATTAAGAAGAAGGAACTTAAGTGCTATAATTTAGATCTTCTTATTATTAATAAATAAAAGGCATATGGTATGATATGGATAAAAAAGAAGTTATATTGACGTGTGAATTAGTGATTGAAAGCAAAGAATACATGAGAGTGAAAAGTCTAAAAATATAAGTAAAGAATTGAGTCAATGTAATATTATTAAATAGCAACATTATTATTGTAAAGAGTTACAAGTATTACAATGAGAGTCTTTTTTTGGATGTTTTGAATTAATTTTATCTACAATTTGGTCGACAAAGCCTAAGATATCACTATTATAGGGATAATATGACTTGGTGTCATTGTAGTATTGTGTTGTTGTTTTAGTACTAAGAAAAGATGGAAGAGTCTTGTATGATATGATTTTAAGAGCAAGAATATATATCTTTTGTTTTAGCATGAAAAACAAGAATGTATTCTTTTATAAAAATGAAATTTACTTTAATTTTTTAATAATTAATACTTATTATTCATATATTAAAATATTTTAAAAAATCACAAGAATATCTTGCTATTATTGAATTTGATAATTTTCAAAGCTGAATACAAACTTTAAAATAAATTTATCAAGTGGTCATAAGAATAATTAGTATACTTCTACCTATAAATTTGTTGTTTTGACAAAATTATAGTTATATATTATTATTAGATTATTTTATTTAAAGTTATATTTTATTTATATCATTCTTTCTTTAATTTTAAGTTTGTTTGGTCTTTGTTTTATTTCATATATAAATTAAATTTCATTCTCTTTAAAAAGAGCAACCAGTTATGAGAGGAAAACTTAATTTATATGTACTTTGAATGAATTTGAGCCTGACTGCTGCAACATTGCCCAAAGATTTATCCAAATGTTGGCCATACCAATAATGTTGATGACTACTCTTCCAACTAAAAATTCCACAAAAAAAAGCTTCTTTGTTTGCAACATGTACTACTAAATTTTTACTCATTTCATGATCATAGGACATGTCTAAGTTTGTAAAGTCAATCAGAACACATTCATTTGAAGTAAATGTCATTTTTACAAATGAATGACATGTTAAATTTTTGATAACAGTGTGTCAAATTTTACTAATGCTCTGTACCATCAACAGGATCTTTGAATACGACCATTTTGGGGTGTTGTTATTAAATTTTTCTTTCACTGAATTTCATACGCTCAAAATTTCTGCTAACACGTCGATTAATCACATTTATTCACTAATGATACAGTCAATCACATTCATTCACAAATGATACATTCAATCACATTCATTCACGAATGATACATTCAATGCTGTTTACAAAATTATTCTGTCTCACAGATTTCAAGACATGAAATTTCATTATTAAAGATATATTTTGTTAAATTATTGAATATTTGCAAGGTTATGCATTAAAGTGTATGTTATTGATACTGCACAAATATTATGAAGTGGTAGTGAATCCATTACAATCAATCTGGTTGTCTAACACAGTCGTGATAATTTTAAATTTAATATTATTATTCTTAACTTGAAAACACAGGGATCGAACCATCTGAGGCGAGCTTGTGACCTCGTCCCACATTGGTGTACACTGATCAACGGTGACTGCAAGAGTAGCATAGTCCGTGAGATAATGAGAATTATCAGGCGTCCTCATGCTTGAATGAGTTGTGAACTGAGTCAAATGCCACGATTTATGTTTCAATTGATGCTCAACCAACTCTTGGCCCAAGTTGGATTGGATTCCACCAACTAAGTAAGTGCGCTCTAATGCAAGAGACAAGCACACGTTACGAATAATTTTCCTGGAGCTTGTGCGCAAGCTTTATCTCGTAAGAATCTCATATGTTAAGAAACTCACATCCGTTATAGAGGTGTCATGCATAATGTTTCTATATATTCAAAAATTTACGGTTGTTATACTTTCCAGCTCAAGCTGAATTGCCGACTGCTTGAATCGTAGCACCAACAACTTGTTTATTATGAAAACTTGACGACGCACAGTCCCGTGCGGGGCGGCGCGTCGACAGTTATTTTTTAAAATTCTTCGTGTGTTGGAGTGGAAGAGTCCTGCAACAGCACACAAACATACAAGACTAAATATACTGAAAAGACGATGCAGTGTTCAGTCTTGGAATCGTAGGGCCCTGCACAAAGCCACAAACACCTCACCTCGTATTCCAAGGCGTCCGGCCGTGTGGAGCACCCCTTCTGCAACCAGCACGGTACACAAGCTCAGAAGCTACACGATTGACGGTGCCAAACATCAACAACAAAAGAGTGGAAGAGCCCTGCACAAACAAAAGTACACAGTAATCACAAACAGCAGCACACACAAGCACACAGGAGAGAACACAGTAAGCACAACAAAGCAGCACAAACAGAAGCACACATAAACACACAAGACATTAAAAGAGGGGACCAAGGGACTTACGTCAAATCGCGTCATAGGAACGAGAATCGATGCAAGTCGGCGAGACAGGAAGAATCTGTGACATGCGTTCGTTATATAGTTACAGGGCGTGCTAACCCAGGGCAGCCCCATCCTCAGCAGTGGATGAACAATTTCTGCGCATTGTTTCTATTCATCTGCCCGTTCTAGGGGTTACACATCGAGAGCGGGCTGCAAGGGGGGGGGGGGTGCCAGTGTTGCCCCTCCCCCTCCCCAGATGATGCTTTCAGAGTTGTGTATGTGTCCCCCCCAACCCATCGCTGCTTCCCTGCTCCTCCCCCTCCCCCTTCCTCCTCCTCAGCATCCATGGCGTCTCTCACTGGTACTCCCTATTCTTCCCTCGCATACCGCCACCCCCCCTAATTCCCTTTCTCTCTCCCCCTTTCTTCCTTTTGCTTTCTTTACTTCTGACTTCTCACAATATATCCTTCGTCGTGTCGCATTGTTGTTGTCGAACTGTAGCCATGTATCGCATAGCATGCTAGCAACAAGGGTCGAAGCGGGGTTTATTGCACGCGTTCCCGTGTGGGGCGTTCTTGCCCTTTCTTGGGTGGAGAGACGATATCTGCTGCCTCATTGTTCGCGGACACGAAGGATAATTCGTGTCTGTCTATGTTTGCGGGCGGATTTATTCTGCCCTCGGACATATTTCAGTTCGAATCATTCTGGACTTTAGTTTCTTTGATGAATTGGGTTGCATTCTGCGATACGTTGGTCGCTATGGTTCCATAGCTTTCGATGTGAAGATTACAGAGGAGTTTCAAGTCGGGATTGGGTTCTTTCTAAGTAGCCTTCTTCATGAAGAGACTTGTCTGTCACATTGCTGTGAGCAGGCATTGAGTTCAGAGCAGCTCTCTCATAGTATCTTGTCTGTGCAGAATCTATAATGTCTGAACTAGCAGATGGCACCGCATGCTTCGAATTTGTCGATACAACAGATAATTCAGCATTCAGTCTTCCATTTGCTTCCATCTCATCCGCTTTCTCGGGCTTGCGACCAAAACAATCGCTCCCTTTTGCTAGAATTGCCAGAGGAGGGCAAGCTCGGTAAGTTTTACAAAATATGGAATTCTTGTGCATCATACTATCACCTCTTTGCGTGTGGGCTTCGCAGGACAATCATAATTAGTTATGAGAAAACCGGTCATTTGTTTGGTCTTATCAGACTGCTTTAGGGTTTAAGCTTCAAAGTTGTATGTCTTTCATAATTGCTGTTTACAGTTTGCGATGTATCCACGCAGCAAAATTGAATACAGTAACAATTGTTTAGAGCCTCAGACAGGGTACGTCCCAGGCGCTGAAGAAGGTGGAGCATTTCACCGTTCGGAGAATCGTCGGAGACGGGCGATGCATGTTTCGAGCTCTTGTACGTCAGCTTAATCTTTTTACTCGCTGCCATCCTCCAAAACTGTGTAGATCCCGTATGCCCATTAGGATGTTTACACCTCGTGCTTCGTGATTCTTGGTCACATATGTTGGTTTTGTCTGTTTTTTAGTACTTTTGATGTGTGTACTAATTGTGAAGTTCAAGGAACAACTTAATTATTACTTGTCTTGGTTTGGTTGTTGCAGGTACAGGGAATGGCTCTGAACAAGGGCATGAACCTGAACTCTACAGAGGAAGAACAAGAAGCAGGTTAGTGATGATTCACTCAATCACATTTCGCATAGCTCAAGAATTACGTCTTTTAGATGTGGATGTTGTCCTCCTTCTAAATATAGCCCAACTCTGAGATGCTTTTAATTGCCTGAAATTAGTTATGTAAATGCTTCATCAGGATCGTTGGTCTGGCATGCTGGAAAGTGGGTTCTTTTAAGTTCGTTGGTTTGGTCAGAAGGGTCATTTTGGTAGATCCGATGTTGGGGGTGGTGTGCAGATCAGCTTCGATTCGCAGTTATGGATGCAATATGTAGAAGCGATAAACGAAGGACCTTATATGAAGAAGCCCTGATAGCCATAACAGTTGAAGAATCGTTGAAGCGGTACAAGACATTCTCGACCTTATTTTTCTCATACAGCTGCGTATGGTGCTGTTTTATTATATTTTCTGGTGGTAATTGTCTCGATGGACATCGCAACTCTGCAAGTATCTGTCTATGTTCTGACTGAGTTGTAAGTGTGATCTTTTTTGGTATGCACCTCCTACCTGAATCGTTTATGAGAACATAATGAACATACATGGGTTTCGCTGGAAGGTCACTAATTGGAGGTACTCAAACAGTAGACTGAAGGTCGAAGCTACAGACCGAGTGTTTTCAAGTACTTTTATTCTGACCTCCACGTTTATTGTGAACAGATACTGCCAAAGGATCCCTAATTCAAGTTTCTGGGGTGGTGAATCAGAACTGCTTGTAAGTCTTAGTTCCTCCTTTATACCCGAGAACTCTTAAGATACAAGGTGCTGTAATGTCGGTCCTTCGACTCTCGCTTAACCTCTTTTGAGCTAGTCAGTGAATCTAAAATAATATTCTGTGAAACAATTTTTGGCTTTTTATCTACAGGTATTGTCAAGAATGTGTTCGCAACCTGTAATTGTGTACATTCCCGAGTCAGAGGTGAGGTTTCCATCTCACGCTACGTCATGAATATTGCAGTGGAATTTTCCATGCTGTCAACTTGCTGTTTTCTTCTCGTGCTGTATGTACAAGAGGAGCATGCTACTTTGCTAATCGGAATTTGAATTATGACAGGCAAAACAGGCTGCTAGGTGGGGCACAGGCTACATTCCGATAGCTGAATATGGTTCCGAATATACCAAGCCAGGAAAAGACAGGAAAGCACGTAAACCTGTAAGGCTACTGTACAATGGCAGCAACCACTATGATCTTCTTATTTGAGCACAAGCTGTACCGTTCTTACCTTTTTGCTGAAGCGACAGATGCACGCAGATGGCCTACTTGAAACACTGAAACTACTCACCGTATATGCGAAATAGATTTTTTTTTGCGTGTTCATCGTGAGTTTATCATTTAATTCAAGGTAACATAGTGGGTTGAAAAATTATTAGCTAGATATTTGGTTTGTGACATGAGTGATGCTTCACATCAAAGGAAGATGAATCATATGTTTGAGTCAATGGGCAGACTTGATATGATGTCCAGTATTCAATGATTGTGTTCATGATTTTCTTCACTGTTTAGTTGGTCTTGTGCGAGCTTATAAGCTTGAGTATTGTCAGGAGTTGTGATTCCAGATTCTGCTCCTCATCGTGGTGAATTGGACAGTACCATCACACCTGAAAATATTTATTTCTTCTTGAGTGTAGTATCTATCCCTCGATGATTATTCCATCAGGATTTGTACCTTGAGGAGACGCATTTATTGATGTCGATATATGTAGCACCGATGCAAGGGGAAGGTTCCCGAATCCAATAAATAATCCAAACATAATCCCTTGGATTTGAAAATTTGAAAATTAAAAATTAAAATGGTATTCATAAGACCTATTAGAGTGATTTTGAAAAGATGAATCTCTTCAAATTTTGCGTCTTAAAACACAACGTGAAAATCGATTGGATGCTAGGTATACTTCTAGCAAGTACTTATAATTAGAATTCTGCATTACGCACACTCATCGCAAGCAGAGAGGGTTTGTGGTTCCAAACACATACTGCAAAATGAAATAATATGAGTATTTTTTTACACAGGTATTGAATGGCATGAAAGTCTTTTTAATAATGAGTTATATTCTTTAGAAATAATTCAAACAAGAACCCTGCACATGATTATAAAAAAGTAAGTGCATCGAAGTACTTTGTATAGTGACTTGCTTCTGAACCACAGTATAATCCACACAACAGTTTCAAAACTTGTAATAAAGAATAAAGATATGGAATTCTAACAGACATAGTCTCAAAGAATATAACGTAGATTCAAAGAATGTGCTGATGAAGAAACAGTAGTCGTGAATATGAAGAAGAAGTGCATGGAATTTAGAACCATGAAAGACACCTACCTGGTCGTGGGGTATGTCCACACAGAAGGAGAGGCGGGGATGACGGGTCCCGGCGGGGGGGGGGGGGGTGATTTTCCCGCCCACTCGACACCAGAGGCGGGCAAGGGCAGAGCAGAGAGAGAAGTCAGGGTAGGGCAGGGCAGGGCCAGGGAGGAAGGGAGGGAGAGGAGAAAGGAGGAGGGCTGCTCTCTCGGTCTCCGCCATAGCCATAAGCCATAGCCATGGCGCCCATTGTGCCCGTAAGCTTGCGGTCGGCCTCGCCACCCCGCATCTGGAATGTCCACGACTCCAAACGTGCTCTTCTTGACGTCTCCGATCACGGTCTCAAAATTGCCTACAAAGGTGTCACCCTTTCTCCTTCTCCTTGCCTTCTTTTTCAGTTAGGGTTTTTCACTCTGCTCTGCCTTGCTCTTGCAACTCCATGCCTCTTTTACGTTTCAACCTCAGCGTCAATTCGTATCCCAGTATGTCAGGCGTCGTAATGTATCAATCTATTGAGAGTTGATTCTTGGCTGAATTCGGTTTTGAGATTTAGCTGATGGAAGTACAACCTTTTTTTAGGTTTAATTCTGCGATTCCTTTTAAAGCTTTAGTAATGCGTTAACGCTTGAAACTAATTCTTATCTCAGTGCGTCTCTGGAGGTGAGAAGGTAGCTATGAATACATTTGACTGGACTTGGGTCGAGTCAATCTTGCTGGACTCCATGAACAGAATGTAGCTCAAATTATTATGTAAAAAGTGAAATTTTAATCATCCAAGTTATGTCACACTTAGTTTTTTCTCAATGCTTTACTTGCACGATTGAAGGGCCTGTGTGAGAAATAGAGTGCGATTTTTCATCAGCATTTTATCTTGGAATTACTTTGAAATGATCGATTCGAGATCGGGTAGCTATGCTCATGTGTCCCAAGTTGGAACATTACTTGTTCTACAATTTGAATTTAAGCTTTATGAAGTAGTCCGCACAATCGTAAGTCATTAAATTTGTGAATGACCATTTGCAAATATAATCGTACTTAATAGTTTTCGAGAGAACAGGTAGGAGTACGCAGTCTGCGTTTCATCATTGTCCCTAAAACTTACTTGGATCACAAGACGATTTCATCTATCGTAGAAAAGAATCTGCGTAATTCTGAAATTCGTGGCTGTTGATTTCAACCCATATTGCATGGGTGGAAACGGCCATGTTTGATGTTGACTACGGAATGTGTTACTTACGAATGGCATTCCGATCAAAGTATAGAATTACCTTGAGTGTCATTTTTAAATTTAGAATTTGATTATTATTATTATTATTATTATTATTATTTCATTTTGCTGCAGTACCGGCTATGTTCGGAGATTTTGGTAAATTTTTTCATTTAGAATTTTGGTAAATTTTCGGCATACACTCTCATGACTAGGGGTCAGCTAAACCGCCCTTGATACGTGAAACCAAGTCTCAAGCCAAGAGTGTGCTCGCAGGTCTTGGTAACTCTGATACAGATGCTGGGGCAATTCGGGCAGATAACCCCGCCCCTGAGAGTGAACCTCTGTATTATTTTGAGGTCACTATAATTAGCAGAGGCAGGAATGGGTAAGTCTGTTTATCCCGTGGACAACAACATTTCAACCTCTCAGTATCTTATTCACCCTTTTTTATTCGCACTCAAGTTTTCTTCTTCCTCCTCTTCTTTCCTTCTTCGTCCTTTTTTAAAAAAATTTACTGTCATTAATGTTGTTCAACTTTTTTCGTCTTTATCCCGGACATTCTATCGTTGGGACGGAGAGTAGTCATTGAGACTTCAAACGGATGGTAATCCTCTGAAAGAGAAGCTACAGAAGATTGTGTGTTGTTGGTCATATTGAAGTATGCCGATGCCAGGAAATTAGATACTTTGTAGTGTCTGTTTGTGTGCTTAACAATTCTTTTTTATTGTATTGAATCTCATAATTTTGAGTTAAAATATTTGGTAGGTACATTGGTGTGGGGTTGAGTTCACCTCAAGCTTCGCTCAGCAGATTACCTGGTTTGGTTTGCATCCTTTCTACCCTTCCCTCTCTTCATCTCTCTCTCTCTCGCTCTCGCTCGCTCGACTTTCTGAAAACTGTTTTGCCTCTCAAGAATCAGTTATTTTCACGCTTCAAGTGAGTGAATATATGCACAATTATTGTCTGTATTTAAATTTGATGATGCGTTGTGTTTAACAGGGTTAGAAAGAAATAGCTTCGGTTATCATGCCGACGATGGCAACGCATTTACTGGTTGGTGGGTGCCTTGTCACTGCTGTGGTTCTTCCCTTAATGGAGCAAAGTTCAGCTGAACCAAAAGAGGCTAGGGTGTTTTACTTTACAGTTTTTTGAAATCTACATCCTAAGTTTTATCTTTAATTGTTTTTTGGAGCGAATCGATCACTTTCTTCCTTCAAGTACCAGCGTTACTTAAATTGGTTCTTGATTTGTTTTTCATAACACTTGAAATTCCGTGCGATTTCCAGTTGTACATCAACCTTGAGCCACGAAGGCACCGCATATGGCCCCACATTTGGGAAAGGAGATGTCATTGGGTGCATCCTCAATCAGGTTAGTCTATCTCCGATGCTGTTGAAATTCTTGCACGTGTAATTATTTGGAACAAGGAAAGGTTTATGATTAGGATTGTCATCTCTTGTAATGATTTTTGTGATAAAATTACATGCGATAAGCAGCAAGTTTCTACGTGTGTTTTCTTTATGACATCTCTGCATTTGTAGTTTTCTTCAACCTATACTTTTTGTTGCAGATGGACCACACAATATCGTACACTAAGAATGGTGTCAACCTAGGAGTTGCCTTTAGGGATGTGAAAGGTGATTTTGCCCTAGTCGGTTCATGTTTGGTTGTTCCTTCGTATTTTTCAGCTTTTTACAAGCTAGTCTTTCAGATGAGCATTGTCAGCAAGATGGGGCTTAATAGTTTTTCACTGGGTGCTGTGTAGGTTTGAGTTTATACCCAACTGTAGGACTCAGGACACCTGGTGAGAAAGTGGAAGCCAATTTTGGTTCCAAACCGTTTATCTTCGACCTTGAAAATTTACAGAAGGTAAGGATTTTTGTGTGTAGTTTCAGGGTAATGTTTCCTGAAGATCTGTGTGTTCCTTGTCGGCGAAATAACTTCACAGTGCTTTGTTTGTAATGTCAACAGGCTCTCGAAATGAAGACTTTGTGGACAATTGATGGCATTGGAACACCTGACAAAAATTCCAGACTCCACTCATTGGTGGGTTTTTCACCTGATGCTATTGTTGACTCGGATCCTGTTTTGTTATTCATGAGAAACTTCGATTGAAAATTTAATTTATGATGCTTTGATTGAAACAGGTTGACTCGTATCTTATGCATTATGGATATAGTGATACAGCTAGCGCATTGATTAGGGAATCTGCTCTTGAAGGCAAGGTCATCTCTGTCAAGGAAGCTGAGAGTATGCATCTTCGAAGAAGTACTTTCTGACATCCTAATTATCATTTCAAGTTCAGTACGTAGCTTGATATTTAGACATGTATTGATTTGTCTCGCTTCTGTCGTTTTAATTACGTAGGAATGGGTCGGAAACTCAAGATGGAGGTGCTTCGTTAGACCCTGGACAGCCACTAACAATTATGTTGCTGATTGATGCATGTATTTGTCCTCGTTTGTTCAATGCTTTGATAGTAACGGCTATTGCTGAAATGTGTACAGAAATACAGGAGGCAGTTCTGGATGGCCGTATCGATGAGGTGAGGTCCTATTTACTCTTACAAGTATAGAGATTTCTGTGTAGTTAAAGATGTCTTCCATAGTATATGATTGGAGGACAATTCGGTGATGCACACTAGCAAAAGTTGTTGATTGCAAGCCATACATGTATTTGGTTGGATCCTCAATCAATGTCGTAAGCATTTTTCTTTGACTTTTCGAAGGTTTTTCCTCTAAATTTGGTAAGGAATGGACTATTGGTGTATGCAGGCAATTGAACAAACAAACTACATTGCTCCCGAGGTATTGAAGTGTTCCATAGTCATTATATGTTCATGATACACCCTTGTAAGCTCTTTTAACACACCATCGTGTAGTATCTTGTTCTCGTTGCTGCACGAAATAAAATATGTTGTACTCTGCTCTTTTACTGAAGATCTCTTCTTCCTCTCTTTAGTGTTTGTCAATGTGTCATTCAATATTTAAAAGTAGGCGAAAGGGTGTGATCTAGTGAAGTTACTTCTTTCCACAGAGTAACCCTCTTTTTGTTTCATTGAACTTCTCTAATTTTGGATTATTTTTGGATTAACAGGTTTTGCTATCTCAACCATCAGTGCTCTATCGTTTGAAATGTCAAAAATTTATTGAGATGGTATTACAGCACAAGAACCTTCCACGCTCTAAATTTTCCTTTCTAATTTCTATGATTCTATCAATCAAGATTTAAGAATCAACTTGAGATTACTTTCTTTTTAAATAACTTAGTTCTGAGTACGATTGATCGAATTCACGTTTACCAGAAATCAACTAAAAAGATGATTGCCTGTTTGGTAGGGCCGTATTCTAGAGTAGAAGTTTGATATCGTTTCATTTGGTTAATACGAAATTCCACTCATGCAGCTTTATTCAGATCTTCTCAATCATCTTTGTGTAATAATGTATTCATTGCAGATAAGGGGTGGTGATGATGAAGCAACTATGACTTTTGGTCGCACTGAACTGTCTGAGCTCGATGCTGAATCCGAGGAGGACAAACAACATTATCGGGTATACTTCAGTTGTCCCCGCATGTGGATTATAAGACTATATATATATATTCGCGTGTTGCAGTTTTAAACCGTTCAGTTTGCCAATGAACAGGAAGTTATTTCACTGCTAGCATATCCGCATCCAGAAATCAGCCCCCTGAGACACTTGATTCAGCCCTCTCGGCGGGAGGCAGTTGCCGACTCTTTAAATCAAGCTATCTTGGGTGGGTAACAACAAATCTTGCCTCGCTTTTGAGAATCTAGTTTCTTCCAGTAATTTCTCCGAATTTCATTATGCGAACCTAGTTTCCATTAGAAGATCAAATGAGCGAAAAACCTAGGGTGTGACATCTGGTCTTGTCATGATTGGTTGGCAGTTGCTCAGGGCAAGCCTGCATTGCCTGCACTTGAGGTATGTACTTCACAAAAAGCAAGAGCTACTTTAATGAAACGTTGTGGTTTGTTTCAGGTTACCTTTTTGACTTTCTTCTTTTAAATTGCAATCGAAACCTTGAAAATGGTTTGGTAACTTCCATTTGAAAACATATAACTGTCAAATTGAATCTGCAGATGTTGCATAAACAATTGGCAGTAACCAAAGAAGTACTTTCGCAGCGATCGCCTGGCTCGGCCTCTATGGTAAGGATGCTTTTCTCTCGCGAATGTGCGGTTCATGATCATTGACGTCATGTGTTAACTTAAACAGATTCATTTGAATGGCTTATTGGTGGTGTTTTGTCTTCTAGATAAACAGATGTTTGAAAAGCAGTGGCAGATACCTAAAACCTACCGATAATGACCTAATTTTGTACTTATATTGTTCAGATCGACGCCTATGAGGAGTTTCATGGACTTTCATATATACTAGATAGGTGATGCTTAGAAAAGTACTTCGGGGTTGAAGATTGGGAACTCTGTACCTCTCAAAACAGAAGATCTGGTAGTTATGATGATCACGGCAGGAAGGCTGTATGCATACAGCTACTTTCGACTACTGGTTGCGAGAAATGAGTTAGATTGTAATCAGCCATCTTATATTCTGTATCTTCGCTGCAGAGTGTCTGACCATGCATTAACAGACATTCTACAGATCATCTCGTCACTAACCGTGTTGTCGTTTTTTATGTGTACTCCACACTTCTGGAGAAGTAAAATGTTTGAGCCTAACAGTGTAACCAGAGCTTCACCATATGTTGATTGCAACTTAGTGCAGATAAGGCGTAGTATTCTTCTGTTTGTGCAGCTGATTTCGCTGCTTGCTCGACATCATTGTGTAGGTTCAGGTGAGTAATTGCCGTCATTTCTGTCTAATACATGTTGCTGCACCTAATACATGTGCCTGTGAGTTCAGTCAAGCTGACACCATGGTAATCCCGCTTCACAACAACCAACCTCATGCTGTTTAGAACTCTTTCTCTAGTCATCCGTTAATACCAAGGATGCTCACTTCAGTTGACGCTGTGCGAAATGATGAGCTCTCGTTTGGTGTTAACGTAACTCTGCTTGCGTTTCGCTGTGAATGTTCATAAACATGGCACATGCTCGAATCCAATTCAGATGGTAGGGATTGGCCCTTTATTTCGCTGTCAAATGATTCAGAATAAAGTTTTTATAAGCTAAAATAGACAATGTATTTTGCGAGAATTCTAAACCGTTTATTTAGTAGTATATCTATGCAATTTAAACCAACAGAACTACTCTAACTCAATGATTACTGAAAAATACATATATTGGCATCACATTAGTCCAAACTGTTGGAGACGTTGTCACTGAAGTTATTCAAGTGATTTATTCGTTTCTGTCAAAGATGAATCTGTGAATGCAGAAGTATGCCTTGAATCAAGTATCAGAACTTATAAATTGTACGCCAAAGGACAATCAAAGCTTCTCGGACATTTTGAAACGATATTGTTTGAAGAAAGGAAAACATGAATTTGGGCAAATAGGTAGAACCAAAAATGATGAAAGATTTTTCCATCAATTGTTAAATAGAAAAAAAACACCAAATAGTATTGAAAAAAAGAAAAGAAAAAATCAAATACTGTTAATTTGCAATGTTCTTATGCCAAAGAAATTGAATTGCTTCAGATTATCCATAGATTCTTATTTTGTATTAGAAAAGAACCATCTTAACAGATTTAATGAACAAATTAAAAATAAACAAACAAATCAATCATAGATGTTTTCTTTTTGTTTGATAAGAAAAATAAGTAAATATTTTTATAATCTATAGACGAACTATACTAAAAACAATCTCTTTATAAGTCAATTCAAAATATCATGTCTTGTACTAATCATTGTAATTAGTTAATTGAATAATAAATTAAAATAATATAAAAAACATATATATATATATATGTTTTTGAATTTTTCTATCACTTCTAGTCTCAATTATATTATAATTGACATCAAGGTATCAAGCAAAAGAATAAATTCTCTAAATTAGTAAATTTTAAACAATAAAACATAACTCAAGCTTCGTCATTAATTACTTCATATAATTTAGAAGCCTTACTTTACACTAAATCGATTATACATAAAGTGTTATTTTTTTAAAAAGAGAATAAATTCTCTAAGATTAAGATATTTTAATTGGATATATTTGAAAACACTAGTATTAGATGTATCAACCATAAAATAACATTATACAAATAAAAGATCCCATTCAAAATAAAGATACAAATATATAATTATTTTTATAAATATCTAATTAATTTTTTTAAAAGATATGTTTTGTAATAAAAAATTTAATATTAAGATATAATTTTTTAAAATAAATATTATGTAGAAATAGCACCTATTTATTCTAAGCCTTTATTGTAAGAAAGCTTTTCTACCATGACAAGAATTTGTACATTCTTATAATTTTTACAATATTTATTGTAAAACCACTTGATAAAAATCACTAAATAATAAAGATCTAATTTGATAATTTTTATGAAGTGTATTGAAGAAAGACAAGTTAAAAATTCTAAAACTTAGCATGAACATGGTTGTACACAAAGAAAAGTGTGAAATAAGATAATTCTCATTTTAAAAAATTTTTACTTGTAGATGGTGGTTGATGCCTTAATAGACAACTTCCATCCTTTCATTTTTACATTCATCAAAGTATATACCTAATATATCATTTAGCATTTCATTTATTATGTGTCACGGACATATACATGTAAATTAATAATTACCTATATGATTACATAAAAGTAGGTAAAAATAGATTAATTCTGTAATATCTTCTATAAAAGCTTCTTAGAAACTATATAGATGCTGCTTTGACTTTATAGGTGTCTATAATTGATTCTTTAGGTTAAAAACGTGGTCAACAAGTTGACTATGTGCCACATATGTTGGTAGCTTAAAGAACAAGCGAACTATGTGGTACACACATAGAAAACTTGCCTTGTAAGCTAAGGCATGTGACTTGCAAAGTCAACACATATTAGGGGTCCTATAGAATACTGCCACGTAGCTCTTAGTTAGATAGTATATATAGAGGCAAGAGTGAAGCCATCTTCACTCTTGTGAATTCCTTTCTTGCTTTCAGTCTAGATTTAAGAGTCTTTAATTCCCTTGTCTTTTGGCAATAGCCATTTTAGTTTCTTTTTAATATACATACTACTTTATTACTATTTTATCACTTTTTTTTTAATACAAACTTTTCATGTTTATACATTTGATTATAGCTCTTGTCCGAGACACTATAATATCTTATGGCATAATACTTTATATTTTTATGTATTCTTTGAATATTTTCTAATAGATATATTATCTTCTTGATCTTGTTGCTTAGTCCTTAACCTCGTGATTGATCTTTAAGATGGCCCTTCAACATCTCAAAAACCGATTTTTTGACTACTAGCATCTTATCTATGGTAATATCTTTTAGATGATAATTTATTTTATATTTTACTTATACTTATTTCAATAAAGTGATCATACTATGTAAAATATTTATTTTCATTCTAGTACCTTTAAATATTAAAAAATATCCTATTATATTATATTATATTATATTATATCATAAATTTATATTAAAAAAAACTATAGCTTTACTTATAGTAATTATAAGTTTATAAATGTTTTAATAGAATTAGACTGTATAACAACAAAAATAATTCCACATAGTACAAAAATCAAAAATTTTATTTTTATATTTTAAAAATAAAATAATTTTTTATTACATATATATTCTAAATCTTGTATTATTACCATTAAAGATTTTTTAAGATATAAAATATATATAACACATAAAATAAAAATTTAATTTGATATCAATATATATGTATATTTTTAAATCTTATACAAAAATGTATATTTACAATCATTCTATGGATAATACATATTCTTATAACTCATACTTTATTATAACTAATATAAAATTTATTTTATAGTACTTGATCTATAAAAACTAACTTATACTTCATAATTTATAATATTACGAAAAAAATATAAGATAAAAAAGAAACAAACTTCAATACCTTGTGATAAAAAAAATCTATTTTAATACTAGAAATCATAAAAAATAAAAACAATAAAGATTAAGAATTAAAAATTTGAATGTATTAAGCTAGTGTGACAAAAATTTAAGAGTTTGTTGGATAGTAGTAGCCATATAAATAGACAACTTAATGTTCTAATAGGCCTATGTTAAATATAAGAAGAATTATGTGCATTCAATTGGATGTCTTAAAATTCCATATAAAAATAAATAATAAATAATTATCTTAAATTAATTAATATAATTTTATAGTCCAACTTAAGTTATTATAATATTAATTAATTAAGTTTCATGTATCTATTCAATCAAAATTCATCCTAATCCATACAATGGATGTCATTCTAATTTTTCATTTACAAAGCATATCACATCCAAATTGATAGCTTGATCTAATTATTATATTCATTAAAAAACTTTATCTATTACTTTTTTTTTTAAATTAAATATTTATATCTTTTTTTAATCTTTTATCTATAATTTATTTTTAGCAATTAATTAATAGACTTATAAATTCATTTTATTAAAGAATTAAAAAAATTTGTATCTCTATAACTATTATTCTATCTACCTTCATAAAATAACATACCATGTTTGCTACTAAGTTTTAAATTGAGTCCATTCAGTATGTTTGAAAAGAAGACTTAAAGATACATCCATCTTCTAAAATCTATCTTTAATCTTTTTAAATGTCTCTAATGATGTTTCATAAAATCAATGCACCAATTTGGCAAGATAATAATTTTTTTTCTGAAAATTGGTGCCATAACTTTAGTAAACATAAGCTTATTAAAATCCTAATTTCAAATAATATCTTCAATGAAAGAGTGAGCCTTTGATTTGCCTTAATCGTTTTGATCTTACCTTCTAAAATAATATCTTCAATTTATTACTTGAATTTGAAGGCAATAGATCCTTCCATATATAAATTAAATTTTCTTCTATATAATTTTTTTAATATTATTTAATTTTAAGTCCATAAAAATAAAACTTCATTAACTCTTTATTATTATTATTATTATTATTATTATTTTTTCTAGCTTGTAAAAGCTAAAGAATAGCCTTCTAAAATAGATTAAGTAACTATAAAGGCTATACACTGCCCTTTACTAAATTAGATATTGCTTATTTGTTTGAATTTCAACTTCTAATCATTTTTTATTTAAAAATTGTATATTTATTTTATTTTATTTATTTTTTATTTTTATCTTTATCTTAATTTTAAAGATATGATTGTAATTTGTTTTTTAAAAAAAAAACAAAATCCAAAATTACTTATAAAGTCAATAAGATTTCTTCTACTATTATCCTAAACCTTTTTTATGAAGATTAAAAGTATAATAATTTTAATTGAAATTAAATTACTTCTAATTTATTTTTAGGTTATTTTTGAGTTATTTTAAACTCACTTCTAATTTATTTATAATAAAACTTCTATCCTAATTAGATTAAATAGATTAATAAAATAATAAAAATAAAAAAATCTGAAATAAAATCATTTAATGATATACTAATCATGCTTTGAAATGATAATCTCAATTCTTTTATTAATACAATTGGATTTTGTCATGCAAGCTTAGTCATATGGAGTCAATCTAATCTTTTTATTTAATACAATTAAAAACATTGTCTAGGACTGTACGTTTGAAAAGGAATTGAAATACTCTCTTATCCAATAAAGATACCAAGCTTCAGCAATGATGCAATCTACTATCTAATTCTATTATTAATACATTCAATCTCATCCATTGTTGACCACAAAATGTTAGTGATTTTAGTGTTACAATTCTAGTATGCAAAGTTTTAGATCCCATCGTTTGGTAGAAGAATATTGAAAAATATGCTAGTATTGATATCTTCACCAATTTTCTTACTAGAGTCAATTTTTATTTTAGATCCCATCGTTTGGTAGAAGAATATTAAAAAATATGCTAGTATTGATATCTTCACCAATTTTCTTACTAGAGTCAATTTTTATTTTAGATCCCATCGTTTGGTAGAAGAATATTAAAAAATATGCTAGTATTGATATCTTCACCAATTTTCTTACTAGAGTCAATTTTTATTTTAGATCCCATCGTTTGGTAGAAGAATATTAAAAAATATGCTAGTATTGATATCTTCACCAATTTTCTTACTAGAGTCAATTTTTATTTTAGATCCCATCGTTTGGTAGAAGAATATTAAAAAATATGCTAGTATTGATATCTTCACCAATTTTCTTACTAGAGTCAATTTTTATTTTAGATCCCATCGTTTGGTAGAAGAATATTAAAAAATATGCTAGTATTGATATCTTCACCAATTTTCTTACTAGAGTCAATTTTTATTTTAGATCCCATCGTTTGGTAGAAGAATATTAAAAAATATGCTAGTATTGATATCTTCACCAATTTTCTTACTAGAGTCAATTTTTATTTTAGATCCCATCGTTTGGTAGAAGAATATTAAAAAATATGCTAGTATTGATATCTTCACCAATTTTCTTACTAGAGTCAATTTTTATTTTAGATCCCATCGTTTGGTAGAAGAATATTAAAAAATATGCTAGTATTGATATCTTCACCAATTTTCTTACTAGAGTCAATTTTTATTTTAGCCAGTACAACTATTATAGTAGATTGTCACTTCTTAATTATTATAATATGTATTATTGACCAAAAAATCCATATTATCCTTCTTAATAGTAAATTAGGTATTAATGTCATTACTAAACTATCTCTTCAATAATTAAGTCTTGCACTACTATTATCAACATCCTTAAATATCAAGATAGTTGATAGCTTGATCATTTGTCTCTTCATTTTAATTTAGGATCTTTAGATCTTCATCTACAAAATATCATAATTGTTATATACATACATATTTATATTAATAATTACTTAGATTATAGATGTTAAGTAGAAATAATTATATTATTTAATTCAATAATATCTTGTATTAAAGCTTATTACAAGCTTCATAAATAAAGATTTGACTTTCTAAAGTATTGGTAGGCAATTACTAGGTTGAAAATTAGGCCAATAAGTTGGCCACATATTGTATATGTTGACTACTTTTTTTATAAGTTGATCACATGTTGTACATGTTGACCTCTTGTTTTATAAGTTAGCCACATATTACATATCTTGGTTATTTGTCATGTAAGTTGGTCATGTGGTGCATGTTTTGGAAACTTGTCTTGTAAATTAGGCACATGTTATGGAAGTTGGACAGGTGTTGGATGATGCATAGAATATTGTTATGTGATATCCTAGTTAAATAATATATATATATATATATATATATATATATATATATATAAAAGAAAGAGTGATGCCATTTTTACTCTTATGAGCACTTTTCTTATTTTTAGCCTTATTTTAAGAATCTCTAGTCTTCTTATATTTGATAATAACTATTCTAATTTCTATCTTACAACTATTTTTTATTTTTTTACTTTCTCTCTTTAAATGTACCAAGAGTTTATTATTTCTATAGAACTTTTTTATAATTCATGTTCTTGACAAAATCTTGTAACATTAATAATAAGTTATACTAAGATTATAATTGCTAACTATTAAATTTTGCTTACTTATCTTTAATTAAAAAATACTCAAGTTTCTCATGATTGGACCAATAAATAAGTTCAAAACATAAAAAATTGAACTACCTACACCATCTCCATCAATATGTAGTTAGACTTCTAATAGCCAATTTCAAAAGTATTATTGTATTACAATATGATTAATAAATCAATAGATAATAATTCTTTTTATTTTTTCTATACTAATTTATAAATTCAAAAAATATATATATATTTCAAGTATCTTGATTATTTATATTTCAATTAGCTTCTCTACTTATTAAGATTGATATTTTAAATTATATAATTAGAGTTGCATTATGTATTGATTATATTACTATCTTTCTTTATTTTTCTTCTCCGTGCCCTTTGTATAATATGACTTAGTAAGGGACTTAGCTTTTATTCTAAGGTTTTATTAGGTATTAAGATTGTTAAATTTTAGAGCTAAAATTTGGTAATAGAGAAATGAAATGTCAAAGTATTGAAAGAAAGATTGGCAATGTAGGATTTGACTCTTCTTCAAATCAAAGACAAGAAAGTAATTTTCTAATAAGAAAAGAAAAAAGATGTATCATTGTATATCTTTAATCATGTTAGCTTCAACAAACTTATTCAATGCGAGCAAGACAACTTTGGACTATTTGGATTAAAACTATTTTAATTTGTTTGGATTCATAATAAAAGTAGTAGTCTTGGTTATTATGCTAGAAGATTCAAGTTGTTTTTTTGGATATAATATTAAGAGCATTAGAAGCCCTTGAGCAAGTTATGGCATTAAAAGAGTATTTGAAGATGCTCAAGAAGGAACTTTGACAATCTTAAGATGAGGTACAAATGGCCAACTTATGGACTTATGCTCACATGTTCCATATTGAGGAGTTAAGAAAGTTTTGTTTGCCAAATCTAACATTGGTACCTAGGGCCCAACTATGAGATTAAACAATAAGACAATAAGAGTTGGCATCTATCAATGAGATGATTAAGATGGTTGCCAATTTTATAATTAGAGATGCTAAAATATAAGATATTATATAAGAATTGGCTACATGATAGTAAGGACTATTCTCTTCACATCGTAGACATCAATAATTGGAGATTGGAAGGCCTTGAGGGACTTAAGACTTCTTTAGAAGGTATTGTTATCCGACCAAAAAGATGGTGATTTGGACTTAGAGGTGGGCATGGACATTAGGACAAGCATCAAAAACAAAACTAAGACAATGGTTCACTTCAAATGCAAACAATAACCTCACTCTTCTTGAAATCATTCAAGTCTTAAATATTTGGCTTAAATATTTGAAAAAGTGATGGAGTTATCAAAGCCGTAAAGTCTTAAATATTTGGCTTAAATATTTGAAAAAGTGTTGGGATTATCAAAGCCGTAAATCAAGCACTTGTTGAGCCAAAACATGTCAAAGGAGTGGACAGGTTGCCTGAGTAGTAAAGACTAGCTGTTGAAGCTGCTAAAGCGTCAACGGGACTTGAGTTAAGTGTAAGTCAGAATCAGTGTGTTAGTATAAGACAAAAATAGTGTAGGTCACACTCATTCACTCACATAGCCACCAGGACTCATGGGGGGGACAGCATGAGAAGCCCTGCCCCTGCCCTTTGTTCTCCATCCCAAACCACGCGGGACTAGGGTCCTCCTCATCGAGATTCGCCCCGAAGTCCTGCTCCTGAGGGATTGAGAGTGTGTGTGATGGAACGCCATCCTTCACCACCATCCCTTCCATCCTGCTCTTTCAATTCCACTGTATGCTGCCTACAACTCTCTTGTGACGTGAGACACACACCGTTACTTGATCATGGCCGACTCGAAAGTGGACGAGATTGAGCACCTCACCATAGATGCTGCCAAAGTGAAGCGCATAGACGGCATGATCTTTGTGAAGACTGCAGCAGAATCCATCATGTTGCTCCTGAGCGCGCTCTCCCTCCTAATTGCTCTCCCTCCTAATTGCCCTTCCTCATCGCTTTCTGCTGAGCCCCTTTCAGCTCTGCGATGCAGTCGCCTTCTGAATGTGTGCTGGAAATAGTACCTGGCAAAATTCCTGTATTCCGTCGGAGTCCCCCCTACCTGGCTTTGCGCTTGCAAAACCTCTGCCTCGTCTGGTCTTCCCTCACTGCTGTCTCGACCACTCTTACGGTACCGGTTTCTTTTCAAAAAGACAAATTGATGTGCAGCGCGTTAGAGCATGTCAGGATCAATTTCATCTTCATCAGCACATGGAAGCTGTTCGCGGCACACGTGCTGACAACCCAGCTGATTATCATTGTAATGTCCATTAGCATTGACTTGTTTTTAACAGTAATTCCGATCATCTGCGGGTTTAACTCCCTGTGATACTCCCTATCAAAGCGTCCACGCTTTCTCCTCTTGATAGCCAATATCCTCTTCTACGTGATGTTCACTCGTAGCGGGATGATTCAGTGGTTTGGCTGGGCCGCGGAGGCTATGATGTGATCTGCTTTGCTCAATGGTGGCAAGAGAAAGACCCCACGAGGCTGCTGGTGCTCGATGTAGTGGCAGTGGCCCTGTACAAGCTCGCAAACCTGGGCCTCTGGAACCACCACAGGATCCGCATTGAGTAAGCCTGTGGAGCTTGCGGCGGCCATTGCCATGGCCGCTGGGTTCAACCTTTGTTTCACCGCTATGTGCACGGTGTTCAAATTGTCTTGTGTGACGACGAACTTCGAACGAAGCCTTGCAATCTTAAAGCTTGTTTGTTGTAATGCACAATTTACCGTAAATTTACTGCTCCCTTAAAACGAAAAGCAAAAAAAAGAGAAACATGACAAAATTGTATTCTTAAGAGAGAGATCTGATTGTTGGTGAACATTTCGATGAGAGACCAGAAGTGGAATGAGTGAGAGTGGGGACAAGGAAACGCACCAGGTTTAGGGTTGGTTCGTAATGGATGGCTCAGAATGGGAGCCCGAATGCCGCGAAGGAAAGCCATGGATAGGGCCACGAGAGGGGTTCCTGGGGCTGGGAAAAGCAGCTTCTCTACTTTAGAAAACGGGACTGCCAGTTCAGGAGTCTACACGCATATTGGCCTCTGTTTTTCTGGCAGCGCCATCTTGGCTCAATGCTTGTCCATCACCACTCATCGTTCTATTGCAACCCTCAGAGTTCCCTCTTCTGCTCTTTTTATTTACAGTGTCGTGAGGATCCTCGCAATCAACTCAGTAACGCCTAGAATGGTCTGTGTGGTGCTGAAAATGCGGTGCTTCCGTGGATGTGGTGCTCCCGTGTCACTCCTTTAGTTCCCCGAAAATCGACCAACCCAGTTGTTACAGTGTTCGCAATCCTACTAACGTCGAATTCATATATAATTTAGCAGAGAGGCTGAGAGTAGGTCTCCTGTTCCCTCGTTTTTTCCTCCGTAGTATGCACCGCTTGTTGATAAGGAGTGCAGTATCTTTGGAGGACGGAGGAGTTCAAGAACTTTAGAGGTACGTAAATATGTAGAATGTTAGTTGAGAGTTCAAGTGTACGGATAATATCCAGTGAATCTTGCGTAGGCCGATAGAGATTAGAACATTTTGGGGTGCGGGATGGGGAGTGGAGCAGCAATGACAGCATTCAGTGAAGCAGGGGACTGGCTGGTGGACAAGGCCGCCCGGGACATGGGCTTGCAGACGACTTGCGTGGGTGGCAATGCTCACAACCTTACCCTGGATTCGGCAACTAGTAGCTTTGGAAGTAATCTCAAGTCCCCCTCACTTTGGTCAATTACCATGCTGGACTCCACTGTCCACAAAATTCTGGAACACTACGTCGGACTAGACCTGAGTAAACCAAGTGCCATCACAGTCGATTTGCCTCTTGTGAGGAGCCCCACGCCCGTTGTCTTGGCAATAATAGGCTACATTGTCGTCGTCTTGTTGTGGAGCTCGCACATCAAGCGGGCAGGGTTAAAGCCCCGCTTGCAAGACCCCGTTTGGTTGCAGACGCTCGTCATTGTGCACAATTGCTTTCTGTGCTTCCTCAGCTTCTACATGGGTTGGGGAATTATCACCGAAGCTCGCCACCATAGGTATCGCCATTCTTCATGAGTTCTCTCTTTTGCTCCGAGTGATTGCCGCAGTCACTTCTCAATTTATCACTTTTCTTCGTCTCTGAGATTCAAAATTCACAATTCACATCATATGCTCTAATTCTAAACTAACCTTGTTGAGTTGCATAAGCTCTCTCGAACGTTACATTCAGGTCCTGTGGATGATACCGTTAGTGTAATTACCAGTTTCGAGGCTTGGGAGAAATCGTGGATAAGTCCTTCACTAATTCATAGCCGAGAGGATAGTCGCCTAGTCCATGGGATTGCTTGTAAAGATTCCATTTGCACCTCATAGCTTTTGTTACAATCTAAGGTTTAGGGGTTTGTAGTAGGCTGGCGAATACCATATAACATCAGCCTTGTGTGGTGCAGGTATTCATTTTGGGGTAATGCTGGAAACGATGGACATGTTAAAGTGAGTATTCTTTGCCTGCTTTTCTTTTCTACTTTGCCACTCAGTACTTCTTGAGTATCTGCAGGATCAGTTTCTGCTAATTCTCATCGTTACATCGATCCTTAAATCCTGGATTATTGTTTCTGATGAGGAGTCTGTAACATGCAGATGGGATCTTACATTTACATTTTTTACGTCTCGAAGTTGTATGAGTTCATGGATACGGTAAGTTTGTGCGTTACCTGTAACGAAAGGATTGGAACGTTGTTACAGTTTGGAATTTTCCTCCAATAGCCTGACTCAGGTCAGAAGTTTTTAGCACTTTCTTAGACTGTCGGTTCTCTAGATATGATTTGAGAAGTTCGGAGTGTCATCAGTATTGTTGTATCTCATTGTTGCAAACCTACTGACAGGGCAAGCTTCTTCATCTTCATGATCAGTTGATAGATCTCACAAATTTTGCTCATAGTTGGAATGAATTGATGACAGATAGTAATGCTCTTGAGAAGAAACTTGCGGCAAATAACCTTTCTCCATCTGTACCATCACGCAAGCATTTCCTTTATTTGGTGGATTATTAGCTACCTTTTCCCCACAGGAGATGGTAAGGAGGTTTGAGTACTTATGTATAATATTTTGAATGAAAGTATATTGCATAATTTCTTGTTGGGCGCATTGGAAGCGTACTGTGCAGAAACGCAACAGCCACCAGTACTGCGGAGACAGTCTCCTGCATACAGAACTGGAAATAATCATTTTCGCTTTACCTGTGCAGCCTATTTCTCAGCAGCGCTTAATTCATGGATTCATGTAGTCATGTATCTGTACTATCTGCTAGCAGCAACCATCGCCAAAGATGAGAAACGACGACGCAAATATCTCTTCTGGGGCAAGTAAGTTCATCAATGAATGTTTTCCCAGGTTAAAATCTAGTACCCCTTTTATACGTGAAGTATGTGTCTTTGTAGTTTCCAGAATCCATCATCATCAAGGAGTTTATGAGGTCTTTGATTTGTAACACTAGTTTTAATATTTGAATCGAAGATCATTCACGGTATTTTCATAGTATTGCTAAATCTAGTGTATATTCGCCTCCTCTTCGTCCTCATTTCGCCTGTGCTACTGCAGATACTTAACCATGTTTCAAATGCTCCAATTTGTTTCATTCATCGGGCAAGGTATACATGGACTTTTCTACCCCAGCACCTATCCGAAAAACATGCCAAGAGTAAGTTCCGATGGGCCTGATGTACAGTATCACCTTAATATTGAATGGTATAATTATCTCTCTTGTACATTCCTCTCTAAGATTTCTTTTAAATGGAAGGAGGGCCTGCATTGACATTAGTGCTGGGGTACATCTGTGCAGATGTTGTTCCTGTACTCTTTGTCGTTGTTGCTTTTTTTCAGCAACTTCTTCATCTCCAAGTACATCAGACCATCTCCCAAGTTGCAGTCGAAGCCATTGAAGTCTGAGTAGGCCAAAAATCAATTTTCAGACGTCAATTCTACAATTTTGTTTTCTTTAAAACATCAATAGGAGCAATCGCGATAGATTGATTTTATTCAATGCAAAGTAAACCAACTTTAATGCGTGAATTCAGTGAACGTTAATCATTACCTCAAACACTCCTGTGGTTTAAACATTGATTTTATGCAAGGACATCTGATACATGGCTAATGAAAAAGTCTTCATTTGGTCGTTATCTCACAACACTGATTTCCATGGGCGTCCATGTGTATTAACGTAGTACTCTTGAAAGCTGTAAGAGCACTTCGTGAGCATCCTGCTAGTACAGGTTCATCAAGCAGTTCAAACCGAGGACGTAACATATTTGCAAAAAGACCTCACAAAACGAATCGAGGTACGATGACGAGTATTCATTAAGTGGCAATCTTACTGTTGCCATGCACTATGAATGACGAACTTACCGCGGGCATTTTCAAAGAACACTTCCTTTTGGGGTGAATGTAGTGGGTTATCATTCTAAAACAGACTATTTAGCATTAAATAAATTCTACGTAATGCACCCTAAACTCTACGTAACACCACTATGAAAGTATGTCTATTGATAACTAAGGCATGTTACGAACAGTAACCAAATACGTGGCACTCAATCAATTAAGTAAAACATCATATGAACACTTGAGTGTGAAGCGTGTAACAATACCAATGTATACAAAATACATTCTGGAATGGTAAAGAACATACTCACCTGAACAACGGAGTATCCATGTAAACGCAGCCCGTTAAACAAGCTTAGAATGAATTATGAATTGAAATGTTGTTTCATTGTATCAACAAACGCATAACACTCTAGGCGATCTACTAATAGCGTGTTACGCGATCGAAATCGAAGGTGACTAACGGAATTATCCAAATACGATATTTACGGTCGCTTAAACTAACTGGTTACAAATGTTTATGAGGGAAAACGAACTAGCCACAGATAAATGCGTTGATTCAATGTATCGCATCCAATCAACGGCAGTGGTACAAATTGCGTGATGCTCAAACTGACCGCAGCAGACGAGAGGGCTAACTCCATTATTCCAAGTGCGGCAGTCACAAAGAATGTTAAGTTAGGGAAGACCACGTATTAGTCCTTTCAACCTGACATAAATTTAGTGGAAACCCAACCACATTAACATGGATTCTTGGAGGGCCTACAAATGTTTCCCATCGCAAAAAAACCTTACCAGGATCCAGGTGATGAACAGCTTAATTCCTAGGGTGAAGACCCAACCACTTCAATGTGGAGTGCAGTAGGCTTAAGAAACAGGTCACAATGTTACTATCACAGTAAATACACTGCAGAGGGCATTCAATTCAGAAGAGCGTTGCAATCTTGACCATGCCAAATCACCAAACGTCAACCTAAAAATTCAGTTGACAGACAAATACAAATTTCAGGAAATTCGTTAATTGATTACTACGAAGCAAATAGTCTAACGAGGTTAATATCAACTGCCCATAAGATAGATGAGCTTGTGGACGATGAAGTGCTAAAAGAATGGAGAATTTATGAACTCTGCCATGTAGAAGAGGAAAAGCAGAGTTATTTACAAGCGGCAAAGCTGAAACTTGAGTTGCATGTTCGAGGAGATTCAATCGGCATCCTTCACCCGCACCATTGTCCTGGAGAAGAAAAGAAAAAAACGTAGAAGCATATTCTCTATAGAGTTCGGAAATTGAGCCTCTATTCAAGTTATCTTCACTTGCTGTCATCAAGTGGTGTGACCATGGTGTCGCGCAGGTCTATAGTTGTAAATGATAACCCTTACCGTCGGATTGGTGTCTCCTGATAAATTTTAAAAAATTATATCACGAATTACAACAAAATCACTAAAACCCATCCCACCATATTTTCACACGGTAGAACGATTTTTTCCGTAACAATGTTCTTGTGTTTAAGGATCACTATTAAATTCTACACCCAGTATTCAACCTAATTATATTTTTCAATTTCCCAAAGCGAACTTTTAATTTCCTAGAAAAATGCGTCCAACAATAGCACAGAATGATTGCAGACCAGAAAATTTCAAGAAAGAAGGGGAGAAAGAAATATAAATAAAAATAAAAAACAGACCAAAAAGCTGCACACCTGATTGTGGATATGAGCAACTTTCAGCCCACCTTTATCATTGTTGAAGCCATTTGCAGCAAGTTCTTCAGGTGTTGAGGGCATAGGGTGTCAATGGCATTTATTCAGGGTGGACCAAGATATTAACACCCAATAACTTGAATGCTACATGGTTACTGAAAGATAGCATAGAGGAGAGAAAATCATTACTTACAAATTGGAACAGGAGCAGGCGGTTCTTGTACAAGTGGTCAACCCTGATGCATTGACTGAAACTGCCATGGCTGCTGGACTCATTCCCATGTCATTCACCCTCATTTGTGGAGCCTGATAATGTAGGTCATTCATCATAACCTATTAATAAGAAGATCTTCAATGACAGATACACTATTCAAGAGAATTTGTTTTCAATAAAATGCATGCATCATACTAAAAAAATGCATGACAATGCATGACAAAACATCAGTCCAAGTAATGCACCATACTCCTTCCAGACTTGGGTGTTCTACAGAGAATAGTAACAATACTTGTGTGCCCCTTGCAATAAGTTGTTTCCAACAATGCAGTGTGTAGACCTTGCAAGAACTCAAACCAAGAGATTGCTATTCAACAAGAAAATGTCACTATTGTGCAAAATCTTCTCACAGTGCCCAGGGACCTTAACTCTTAAATCCTGTAGCACATGAGGTGGCTACAATGTCAAAAAGTAGTTTATAGAAAATTTTGAGAAATAATATTAGAAATTAATAAAAATAATCATTTACAAAATTAAAATTTTAATATTTTACATATTTTTTAGAATGAGGATTTAAATTGACATATTTAAAATTGTAATAAAAGAATGTTTGGATTCACTTTATGGCAGTTACATACTTTATATTGTATAGAAGTTACATACTTTATATTGTATGGAAAAATCAAGGCTACTAAAGAAGATTTTTATTTTAAATAATTAAATAGCCTTATTCAGACTTTTTGTCACGGACATACTCATGTAAGCTAGTAATTACATATATAAATAAGTAGAAGTATATAAAAGTAGATAAAAGTAAATTAATTCTATAGTATTTCATATAAAAACTTCTTAGAAGCTTTATAGATGCTGCTTTGACTTTATAGGTGTCTTTAATTGACTTTTTAGATTAAAAACGTGGTTAACAAGTTGGCCATGTGCCATACATGTTGTTAGCTTGAAGACCAAGCTAACTATGTGGCTCACACGTAGAAAAACTTGCCTTGTAAGTCAAAGCATGTGTCTTACAAAGTCAACACATATTGGAGGTCCTATAGAACGTTGCCACATAGCCCTTAGTTAGATAGTATATATAGACACAAGAGTGAAGTCTTCTTCACTCTTGTGAACTCTTTTCTTGCTTCCAATCTAGTTTCAAGGGTCTCTAGTTTTCTTGTCTTTTGGTAATAGCCATTCCAGTTTCTTTCTTAATATACATATTGAGTTATTTCTATTTTGATATCTTTCTTTGAGAGAGGTCTCACTTAATTATTTGTCTTTATCAAATTCTTGTCCTTGACAGATTGACAAGAGTACACTTATAATATCAAAGCTTTGTCTAATCTTGATTAAGAGTGGATTACTTCTTTTTCTTGATAAGACATAAGCATATTAGAAGTTGCAGATTACCCTCTTCTAAACTGATATTATCTTTAGTATTTTCTTTGTTCTCAAGTCCTTTCTTCTATTTGTCTTGAGTGATATTAGACATCTTTTCATTTTAAAGTGTTATCATGACAGAACTTGTTGAAATGAAGAGTGCAATGGCACAAATGCAAGAGCAATTGAGGGAGTTAATGATTGTAATACATCAACTCAATTTACCACCACAAGGAGCAACAAGATTAGCAAGAAATGAAGATATAAAAATGATTGGAGCTGCTTCAACATCTGCACCAAATCATGTCCCTCTTCCTATGGTGGAACATCCTTCTAGTGTTAGAGAATCAAGGATTGTCCTACCCAAGAAGTTTGATGGCACCAGATTAAAGTTTACAAGATTTATCAATCAAGTACAACTTGTGATTGAACTTCAACTCTAAAGCTATCCAATTCTAGGATTGCAAGTTAGATTCATTAATATGCTTCTTTCAAGTTTAGCATTATTATAGTTTTCATCTTTTCTTGAACGATGAAATCCAATAATGGATAATCTTAAGGCCTTTTTGGGAGAGTTTTGATCCATGTATGGAGAATATGATGCAATTCGTGTTGCAACCAATAAGATCCATATTTTACGATAAGGCAATCGATCTGTAACGTTGTATGCTTTACAATTTTGACAACTTGTAATTGATATCAAGTGGGATGATACTGCACTTATTAGCCAATTTTTCTACGGATTACAATATGAGGTAAGCAAATTAATGCTCAACTTACTTGATCCTCAAATATTGAGTCAAGCAATTGACTTTGTTATGAAGTGCGACAATTGCCTTTTTAAATTTTGATCTGAGAACCGTACAAGTGGACCTCAACATAACTATAATTCAATAGCAACACCAACATCTCTTCAACACATACATTCAAAAGTAGAAGATATGCAAATTGATGAAGTACGTTTCAAACCTCTTACTGAGCAAGAAAAGAATCATCGTCGTCAAGAAGGATTGTGCTTATATTGTAGAGAACCTAAGCACACTGCTCAACATTGCCCAAAGAAGTGACGCAACCATAAAATGAGGAGTACGGCGATCAAAGGAAATAGCATGTCGAAAAACGAATTTTTCCAGCTATAATAGGGACCGTGCAATTGGAACCTTGTACAATGCCTAGTGAAGGTCCTATCCTCTCATCAAAATTCTCTCCATGTTTTACAATAAATGTTATTCTAGGACCTAAACATCTCAAAGCCTCTGCCTTATTAGATTCAGGAGCGTCAACATGTTTCTTAGATGAAAAATTTGCTAAAAGACATAGCATATTGTTAGTAAAGAAAACTAAACGTATTCATGTAGAAGTCATAGATGGTCATCCATTGTCTTCAAGAGATGTTACTCATGAAACCCTTCCTATAAAAATAGCAACTAATGGTCATAGTAGCTTTATAAT